GGGGATCGAGAGATGATCTCCGGCCACCGTAAGCGCGGGTCTGCGGTCGGCGAGTAAGGGCAGCTCGCCGCCCGACCAGAACCAGGCCCGAGCGTACGGTACGTAGCGTTCCGAGCGCTCCTCAAAGAGCCAATAGACCACCACAGACGGGGCCCTATAGGGCTGATGTTCAGCCGGGGTTGCGGGGTAAGAGCAATGAGGCACCGCGACCTCGGCCCGGAGCAGGAGAAGGAACAGTGGGGTTTTTAGTCAGTAAGAGTCTGACACTCCCTATCGCCCGGCCCTGGGCGGAAAGTCATTCGATGATTTTCCCCTCACAAAAAAAACACCCCCATTTTCACAGTCACTCACACACACTACAAAGAACAACTCTGCTCGCCACTGAAGGCGAAATTAATAATATTTTTATTTTTCTTGTTCTCCTTTTTTACTTTTTTGTAACACTTTTATTATTTAAAGTACAAATAAAAGGAGGGTCCTTCAGGGCCTCCCCGAAAACCCCCTCATATCAAACAGCGAAATCGTTTCCGAGATCACATGTTTCAAGCAATTAGCGCCATGTGCTTTGAGAATCTAAACCATCCAGGGCGCCTCATACGCATACAGAAAAATTGATTTAAATCGGTCAAGCCGTTTAGGATAGGTTCAATGACATACACACGTACACCAGAAATATATATGCTCTTTTGTAATTAATAATTTTAGTTCTTTATTTACTAAAATGCGACTGTTACGAAACTGATTAATCTTTATTAACTTAGCTATCAAATAACTTGGTCAGGCCATTTGTGACTTTCTGACGTGGTTCTAAGTAACTAGTCACTAGCCTAAACAATTAAGCTGTCACAAAGATGTCAGGAGCGCTTATCTGCAGGCTCGCTTCCCTTAAAGCGTTCAGACGCCACTCAACTGCATTGCTTGCTAGTTAGTCTCAGTGACACTGGCGAAGTGGAATGCTAGACACATACACTATACGGTTGAGAACCTTAGTCAATCAGGAGTGCTGAGCCCGAGCTCACTGTAAACGGTATGCGGTTATCTAGGTAACTACTATGAGATAGGCATCAGCTTACTTAACTTATCTACTATTAAGTACACGAAATAAAACTTTGTGTACTTAGTGCACAAAGTTTTGTTCCGACAATTTCTGTTCCGGGTCTAGGGATGATGTGTGTGTAAATTTGTAAGTTTCTAAATGCACCCACGACTCAGTAGAAAATGCAAGTATAGGGCAATTATTTATTTACAAAAAATACGAGTCTCGGTAACCTAAATGCCACTTCGTAAGGCCTCTTCACTCTGATCGCTTCTTATTCGTGAGGATGTGAATACAATCCTAGCAAGTACCAACCAATCTGACTTTTTTCGAATCATATTCCAAATCTATGGACAATCGTTATAACCACAGCGTTGTGTTTCGCCGTGTGAGTGAAGTTACCGGAGGCCCAATCCTTCCCCTCCCCCAATCCCTCCTAAATTCCTAAATCTCCAAATCCCTAATCCCTAAAAGGTCGGCAACGCACTCGTAACTCCTCCGTTGCGAGTGTCCATGGGCGGCGCTGATTGCTTACCATCAGGTAATACGTTAGCCGACCTATTAAATAAAAAAAATCTAAACTTGCATATAATTTCAAATTAAAAGTTTGTAATAGCCCATCTTAAGCAAGCATGGTGATAAATGCTCATCGCTTCTCAAGAGGCCATTCCTCTGAAGTGTTGCATAAATATGTGAAGGTTGTGAAACAGACGCTTAATAATTCACTGTGTATATTATTATAATATTTCATATTTTTACAGATGGACCTACATTCGTCGGACAGGAATCGAACGTCACAGTCGTTTTGGGCAGAGACGCAACACTTACTTGTAAAGTGGACAATTTACAGAGTTATAAGGTAAATTTCATACTTCACTTCGCTAGTTAAATACATATTTATTTGCTAAGCACTAATCCGCGTTGTTTCTCCTGCTTATTCTACTTGGTTTCTTAGCAAGAATTGTTCAATTCGATCCAGTAATTCCGAAGATAAGCGCGCTCAAACAAGTAAACTCCTTAGCTTTATTGTATTAGTGTAGATTAATAACTATGCTAGTAAGCCAACAATACATAGATAATACTAATATACGAGCTTGCTCAACGTATAATTTACAATATATTATGCAACCAATTGTTGTGACCGATTTATGAAACTATGTGGACGATTTTACAAGATTTATAATATAATAATTTAATTACTTATTTACTGAATTTATATGCGATTATTAATATAATTTCCATACAAATGATGTCTGTTTATTTTCGTGGTATTGACACGTTCTGCATTTTGAATTGAGTTCGTATTTTGTTAACGCTTTAATGTGGTAACGACGTGCGCATTTTCAAGGAATTACTGTATATGAATATGAAATATAAATATTTGATCATACTATTTAGGAACACAAAGCCACAAATCATAATCACAACCAGTTTTAATGCTAATTTAGTTCCACGTCCCATGTGAAACGTACGTCGTTATTTTCAATTAATTCAGTAAATATCAGGATAGTTACTGTTGAAAAGAAAACCTCAATTTTTATAAAATGTCTTCGAAGCTCGATACGATTTTCATTTGTTAACTAACTAACGTCGTAAACGATAAATTATTTTATACAGAGATAAAAAAACAGCTATACCTACTCACAGTTTAAGCGCGGATAAAAGCTATTAAAAGTTTAAACATATAAAACTAATCCGTAATAGTAGATGACTAAACTTTCTTTTTAGTGTCCGTTTTAAATACGTACCTATCATTTATTTATACATAAGTACATTTTTAATTTTCATACTCTTTCATCGTCCCTATTTTATCATAATCATATTTCATCGGAATATAGTATGATTATCGTACCACCACACAATCGGCAAAACGTCATTCCTTCATTTTGTATATTTCCAGCCCATTGCACGAAGCGATTCTCCTCCAGTTTTATTATTAGAACCGCTGAGGAGTAGAATTCCAAACCGATGTCTGTGTTGTTTTTATAATAACTGACTGCACGGTTGGCGCGGTGGCTGGGCAACTGGCTGCTGCGCAACGTGTCGCGGGTTCGATTCCCGCACGGAACAACTCTTTGTGTGATCCACAGATTGTTGTTCCGGGTCTGGGTGTGATGTGCATGTGAAATTGTATGTTTGTAAGCGCACCCACGACACAGGAGAAAATCCTAATGTGGGGCAACGTTTTTTTTTTAAAGAAAAAATAAATAACTATCGTGAGACATACTAAATTAACTAAAAATCGCGGGTTACTCACTCTGTCTCTGTCTGTGTTGCCCAAAGAGTATACCTAGGTTTCTTAAAAGCCCGAGTGAAAAGGTTGCTTATGGGTATCTTCGTCGCAGGTCATATCGTCATTTACCACCAGGCATGATAGCGGTATAAAACTTGCCCATCTTATATATAAAAATGGATCGCAAAATGTCTTGGTAAGCGCATAACTCAACAACGCCTGGTCCAATTTTGCTAATTCTTTTTTTGTTGTGTTTGCTATTGTCAGGAGAAGGTTCATATAAAAAAATATTAGAAAAGTGGAGGGGAAGATTAGGAAAAAGTGACTCTTTGATAGCGAAATAGTTGGACCCGTGCGAAGCAAGGGCCGCTAGTTACGAATAAAAAAAAGATTACGTACTACAGTATCGACTAGATATGTCAAAACGTCGAAGTCAAAGTCCACACGATCAAATGGACAGGAAAGCATGAGATACCATTGATGTTCAGTCCGATATCACACCTTTGAGACCATTCGGTAACACCGCGTCATTTATTAGGCTAATAGCAACCATTAGTCATTTCCCTTAGTAATGCGTTACTATTCAACTAGTAACGTCTGTTTGAAAAAAACCGTATCTCTAAACTGGAGCGCAAAAAGTGATAAAACCCTTAGTGAAAATAAAAATTTCAATGTTATTTTTGTATATTCTTCTATTATCGTAGCTAATTATCAGTAAAAGATTTTTGGGAATCCGACCAGCGGTTCCAAAGATTACCCCCTACATACAAACTTACAAATTTTACCTCTTTATAATATTAGTATAGAGTATAGATAAATCCATCAGAAGTTAAAAAAAAGCGGATAGCATTGATTAACCTTTAATTAATTAGACCCGCGACATTGTCGTTCAAACTAAAATTGAAGTGATTTCGAAATTCTCAATAACTTTTGAGGGGAAAATCATCAAATTTTTTTTTATGTGTCGGCAAACGAGCGGACGGATTACCTGATAGTAAGCAATCAGCGCCGCCCATGGACACCCGTAATGGAGGAGTTACGAGTTCGTTGCCGACCTTTTAGGGATTAGGGATTGGGAAAGGGTCGGGGGAGGGGAAGGATTGGGCCTCCGGTAACCTCACTCACACGGCGAAACACAATGCTGTGGTTGTTTCACGCCGGTTTTCTGTGAGGCCGTGGTATCGCTCCGGTCGAGCCGACCCATTCGTGCCGAAGCATAGCTCTCCCACACTTGAATTCTTGCTTTAGGCCAAGGCCGCGGTTCCTTATTGCGCTAGCTGCGCAACCCAAAATTCTCCAATAACTTGAAGTTGCGAATTGTCACAGATATAAAAAATCAATCTCCTAAAGAGTAAATATATTTAAAATATAGAAATTAATGAGTGCGTATCATGTCAAAATTAATACGAGTAAGTACTAACAGGGGACTGTATTCATGTCGTATATTTTATTAATAAGTCTCCTAGTTCTGAGAACATAATAATTGGAGGTTGATTCTAAATATAAACAAACTGTTAGATTCCTTCCTTGAGAAATAAAAATAAGGATATTTTTGGATGTAATCTAATTGCTAGTTTACTAAGATTCTAATCGAAATATTATTATGACTCTAGCCAGATTGTTAAGAATATATTTAAATGACTTGTAAAAGCTTGTATGGAAACTTAAACTGATTTCACGCACTGCTCAGCTGATATTTTAATCCAGGCATTAAGTCATTATCCTGTTCAGATGTGCTCTGCAGAGCGTAGGCCTTTTTTACGTGTTAGGACGGTAAACGAGCAGACCGATTCCCTGATGGTAAGCAATCAGCGCCGCCCATGGACAACCGCAACAACGGAAGAGAGAGAGAGAGAGAGAGAGAGTACGTTGCCGACTATTAGGATTTTGGAGATTTAGGGATTGGGATGGAATGAGGGATGGGGAGTATGGGGCCTCCAGTAACCTCACTTACACAGCGAAACACAAGGGCTTAGGCCTGCCCGAATACCTTCCAAATCTCCTGGTTGAAAGCGGACTGTACTGCGCCTTAAAATCTTTTTCAGGTCGTCTCTCGAATATCCTTAATGGCCCCCGTGGTGTAGTCTCTTAAATTTTGACATCTCGAAATTCAACCAACTGTTCTATTACCTACAAAATCAACTGAAGAGAAACAGCCACAAGTCCCAAAAATAATGTTTCTCCTCATTCCTTTTATTAGATTTGTTGAACCTTACTTCAATTCGATTTTCTTCTGTAAATAAAACTTATTTGGTAATTCCTCGCTGGAGATATTTCTTGGAAACCAATGATTGAATAATATCCTATATTTAGAAAGCTTCAAAGGTAATGCTCGTTATGAGTGTGCGTGTAGTAAGCAGTGGCCAGTTACCTATACGTGAGTTTACTTATTCAAGTTATTCGACCTATTTGCTATGTTGTTATTCCTGAAAATAAAACAATTACAAATTATTTATGATTAAATCTTTATACCGACTTTTATAATTTATACAATTTCACAACGAAGTTTCTTCTGTTTTTGTTTTTCAAATTCCTGTTTCTTTTTTTCAAATATATTTTTGACCGAGTTGAATCCTTTGTATTTCTGAACTCCAGATTATCTACGTGCTAATACTTAGAATTATTCGGATGAGACTAAATTGATCTTTACTCAGAACTAGCAGGCAATTCAAAATCAGAAATTCCAATAATAAGATTTGATTTACCTATTAACTTAAGCTGGGTTCGGGTTAATTAAAGATTGACAATGCTCGACCCATAACTTTACATTTACAGATGTCTTGAGTCATGATAATTTAAACACTTTTTCACAAAAATAGGAGAATATACCCAAGAAAGAACTGACGAACCCAGCAGATGGTAAAAAACCAACAACCAGATAAGTTAAAATTCGGTATTGGATCTCCGAACAAATATAAAAATAAAATTACAGGTTCGTCAACTGCGCTACATTGCCGGGACGAGTCTTGCTATGACTTGAAACTAGTAGACCCTTTCTCATTTAATACACACTTAAGTTTTTATCTCAGTAGTAATAGTATCAAAAGATAGATCAGCCTAAATGATGATACTTTTTCTAATCACAAAATCTCTCTTGTTTCTTAGGTGGCCTGGCTCCGAGTAGACACGCAGACAATACTCACAATAGGTCACCACGTCATCACAAAGAACCACAGGGTAGCCGTCTCCAAGAGGGACCAGAGCTGGTCGCTCACACTGCGTGACGTCAGGCCTGCCGACGGAGGATACTACATGTGCCAGATCAACACGGAGCCTATGATCACACAGACTCATCATCTTCATATTTCAGGTTAGTATTTGTTTTACTACGCATTGCAGTGAATAAGTATACCATTTTAGTTTAAAGCTAATCTTCTTATTATTATATTATATAGTTCGAAACTGTAAATTGTATGAACATTGTTTTTTCTTCAGAGGGACGCTCACGATTATTAGTATTATTTTCAAAGCTATTTTTGAGACTACGATATGAAAACGCACAAGAATCCTCTGCTTGATTCGCGAAACATGCTCGACAGTCACTTTTAAAACTACTCTCCAATGACGCCTTTAATACTCAGAATACAGAATACTATTTCACCTGTTTCCTCCATTTTAAATTCTATCACTCTAAAAGGCATTTTACTCATCTGAAACTAATAAAAGCAAGACTATCAGCTTGTATTCGGTTGGTTGCTTCCAAAAGAACAATAACTTTGAATTATGTTCGCTCGGCACCTGACGTTTATTATTTTGAGTTTCATTAATTACTGCACACGGACTTAGCGCTTAAGGCTGCGTTTTTACTAACAATCAGAGCGGATAGAACGTGACTTTCAAAATTAAGAATTGCACTGTCAACTGTTTTCATTTTCTTATCATCCAAGACTTTATTATCTCATCCCGCGTCAGAGTAAGAAAAGAGCGTCGCTAGAAGAAAACAATTCCATCTCGTGGATTGCCTGTGAAATGCCTTGAGTGTTACGTCGTGTTTCCTCAATAATAACGGAAAACGCGTGGTATGACTTTTGTAAGAGATATAAAATGTATTCTTTATTTTTAGCAGAATTGCTCGACACAGATCATACGGTTCTTGGTATTCGCCTCCGCTTATGAAAACTTAGCACCCTAATCCGGCATTATATCCCAAACAAAAGAATTGACAATGCACCAGATAATAATTATTATTACTCTTTAGTCTCTCGGCGCTATTCAAATGTTCGACGTACTTTTGTTTTATAGGTATTTATTGTAATGACCCATCTAACTAGAGTTGATTGTTGTTGGAAAGTTATTTATGCTAACGAGTAAATATGCGGGCATGTGATGAAATGATGCCAATTCTAAATAATGGACACAAGTCCTATGACAACCATTTTTGGAAATTCGATAGTCAAATAGGTAAAACTTCCCTGTCTATAAGTATACAAATATTACTGGATATTCTATTCTCAATAGTAGATAATCTCAATAATATCTAGAAATTTAATGGTTGGCTATAACAATAAAAAAATAACACTTTAACCAACCTCTGTGGTTCGAAACTAGTAGAGCTTTTCTCAATATATACACGTGAGTAGTTAATAACACTTTTGTAAATTACCATTACAAACGAGAATTATTGGGGGCCACATTGTAATTTGTACCTACTTTTAAGTAAAACACCACACTCTCAAATATTTAAGTTTAATTACGAACTAATTCTTATAAGAAACTTATTTCTATCCTCGTCAAATTTCCCACCATAATATCCCGTTGTTCTCTTTGCGCGGGAAAACTTTATTCATCTGTCTCAGTTGACAGACGACAGCGTCACCTCGGCAGCCAGTGTTACCGAGACCACAGATTATATTAGTAACGTTCATTTAGTTGATTTTGTCGTCTAACATTCGGCCATCCTGATTTTCCTTCGTCCTCGAAGGATGTTCTTTTGGGTTTCGGCAGCAACTCCCTGTACCGACGGCTCGTAGCCTGAGGACCAGTTGGTAGACGCAGTTACTTAACCTGAAAGGTAATTATAAACACAAGCCCCTTACGGCATGAAATTGAGCCCCTAAGAGCAATTATTTGAAGCGCCTTACGGCAAATATGAATGCAGGCCCGTTAAGGCAAACATGAGTGCAAGCCCTTTACGGCAAATACAACTGAAAGCCCTTCAAAGCCCACATAAGTGCAAGCCATTTACAGCATTGATGGATATAAATCCTTTACGAAGTTTTATGGATATAAACCCTTTTAAAGGCATCCTTTTGTAGACGCCCCCAACGGTATTTATGGATATACGGCACTTTTGGTATCCATTTGTACAAGCCCCTAACGGCATTCGTGGATATAGCCCCTCACGGCATCCATTTATACAAGCCCCTAGCGGCATTCATGGACATAGCCCCTCACGGCATCCATTTATACAAGCCCCTAGCGGCATTCATGGACATAGCCCCTCACGGCATCCATTTATACAAGCCCCTAGCGGCATTCATGGACATAGCCCCTCACGGCATCCATTTATACAAGCCCCTAGCGGCATTCATGGACATAGCCCCTCACGGCATCCATTTATACAATTATGATAGTTTTTTTTTTTTTTTTTGAATTAATTTACAGTAAAGGTTAATCTTCGTTATCAGATGAACTTACACATCTGTTATGCCATAGTTTCAATTTATCTCTCGCCACTACATTTTTATATTTCCTTTTGCCCCTATCGGCCGAAGTAACCTCGTAACGGTCATTTGATAAAACCGCAGTCACCTTATAAGGCCCTGCAAATCGTGGTACAAGTTTTCCACTTGTCAAACCTGGTCTCATTATCTTCCTCTCTAGCATTACTAGAGACCCAACAGCAATTGGCTTGGCCAACCTACGACCTTTATCATAACGGCATTTCATTTTAGAGGCATTTGCCTCGATCTTACCAGCTGCCTCAGCCCTCAATTGAGCCAACTCCGTTGTGTGTATAGGACCAAGGAGTTCACCAGCCAAACGTGGTCTTAAACCACACAATAATTCTAATGGCGATTTGCCAGTACCATTACTAATTGTAGAATTAATTCCCAACTGCACCTTTGGGAGATATGCATCCCAACCTTTCTGCTCATCACCCATGTGAGCTGTAAGGGAATTCAGAATGGTTCGGTTCAACCGTTCAACCTGACCATTAGCTCGCGGTGACGCGACCGCATTAAGTACGTGCTTGATGTTATTATTTGTACAAAAGTCTTTGAAATCCTTCCCGGTGAAGGCAGTACCTCTATCACTCACTATCCTCACTGGATAACCAAAAACTTGACTGAGTTTATTCAGTGCAGTAATAGCACCCTTGGCATTAGCACTTGCTACTGCTTCAATCCAGACAAACTTTGTAAAACCGTCTATTATAACAAATATATATGCCTTACCGTTACTCTTACAAAATGGCCCCAAATGATCCACATGCACTGTATCGAATGGCACAGGTACCCTAGGTATAGGATGTAACAACCCTGGTTGCCTACCCGTCGGCTTTTTAGTAAACTGACATGCTATGCAACTTTTTACATATTTCGTGACAGATTTTCTCAATTTTGGGAACCAGTATTTAGCTTGTATGGCCTCCAAACATTTTTCGAGACCCAAGTGTCCACTATCATCATGATAAAGTTTCATTATGTGCCACCTTGCACTCTTAGGCAACACCGGCCTAGATCCTCCATCCGTAGTTCTACACAATAGTCCATTAACTACACTGAACATTTTTGCCAAGCCATCTTTCTTATTTTTGTTGCCTGCTATCTCTATTTTTAAGTTTTCAATTAGGCCCTGGATCTCGTCATCTCCATCTTGCAGAGCATAGATAAAATTATCTTCTTGTATGTGACGAACCGGTAAAGGATTACGACTTAGAGCATCTACGTGGGACATTGACGTTCCAGGTCTGTGTTCAACATCAAAGTCAAATTCTTGTAAATCTAGCCACCATCTGGCAATACGAGGAGATAGATCTCTTTTGGCCCATGCCAGCCTCAGAGCTGAACAGTCCGTCACCACCCCGAACTTAATACCAGATACATACACTTTAAATTTATGAATACTGAAAACAACAGCAAGTGCTTCTAGTTCGAAACTGTGGTATTTAGCCTCAGTAACAGTCGTTTGCCTGCTAGCGTAAGAAACAACTTTCCATTCCCCATTATCTTGGCATTGAAGAAGAACACCGCCAAGCCCAACCTTCGAAGCATCTGTATGAATTTGTGTTGAATGTTTTGGATTATAAATGGTTAACACTGGATCAGACGTAAGTAGTTCCTTCAAGCGATTCATCGCTTCAGTTTGTTCTACTCCCCAAGTCCAACTAACCTCCTTCTTTGTTAAGGATGTCAAAGGTTTAGCAAGAGTAGCGAATCCCTTTATGAACTTACGGAAGTAGCTGGCTAGTCCTAAAAATTGCCTAAGTTCATGAACATTTTGAGGAATCTTAAATCCAGATACAGCTTTTATCTTATGAGGTGCAGGACGTATTTCACCTTTAGAGACTTGATGACCAAGATATTCTACCGATTCGGTTAAGAAAGAGCACTTATTTCGCTTAAGCTTGACACCAGCAGCATCTATCAGTTGAAGAACCTTCCTAAGGTTATTTAAACACTCATGTGCGTCATTTCCCCAAACTATTATATCATCAATATACACTTCAGCACATTCATGAATAACAGGAGACAATATTTCATTCATTGCCCTCTGAAAAACCGCAGGCGCATTACAAAGCCCGAAGCTCATCATCCGATACTGATAATGACCGTCAGGTGTGACAAATCCTGTATACGGCCTAGACGAAGGTTGAATTTTAATTTGGTGGTACCCATTTGCCATATCTAGACAACAGAACACTGACTTATCAACTAATCTATCCAATAAGTCCTGGATGACAGGTAATGGGTACCTCTCCTTAACTGTAATTTTATTCAGTGCTCTATAGTCTACACACATTCGATAGCCACCTTCTTTCTTTTTAACAAGGAGTACAGGACTTGAGTATGGTGAGGTTGATGGTTCTATAATGCCGGCTGTAAGTAAATCACTGACAATTTCCTTGATTATTCCTCGTTCATGGAATGATATTCTGTATGGCTTATAATTAATAACCTTATCTTCAGACAATTTTATCGACATTTCAATATTACAGTTTCCAAGCTCCATGCCACTGCCTGAGAAACAACTCCGATATTCATCAAGAAGAGATTCAAGTGCCATCATTAATTCCTCAGAAAGTTGTGCTCCGGTATCAGACTTATCATTGGTGTCCTCCCATACAAGATAGGCTCTTGCAATACACTCATTGGTCTTCAATTGAACTGCTTCACTACTTTTATTAATCAGTTTAATGATTGCTAAGCCATCTGCACTTTCCACCTCATCTCCTAGAATATCCTTTTCCCGTCTAGGTTGCCTTTGTTCACTCTCTGTTATTCTTAGTATACCACTAGCTACAGGTTCCGTTCTCACCACAATTTTGTTTATACCAGGGTTCAAGCTCACAGATTCTTCCGGATACAAGCATACCTTTTGTAATGCATCACACATCTCAGCAATTTCAAATGCCATTTCTGCATTGAAAACATTTAACTGTGTAGATGTTTTGACTACAATGATGTCTGGTGCTTCAGTATAGGGTTGCCCCACCAATACATCAAAATCTTGTACCTCATCAGAAACAACATAGAAATTAGTCTGCTTACTTATTCCATCTACTGTTAAGTGTGCTGTGGTTACACCCTTTGGCAAGATCACTGCATCACCATACCCTTTTATCACAGTTGTGTTGTCAGTATCCAATTTTAGCTGTAATTTACTACAAATTCCTTGTTTCATTATGTTACATGAACTACCAAAATCAATGTAACCACTTGTTGGGCAATCATTAATTAATACTGTTTTAAAATATTTTGCATCAGATGAATCATGCAGATTAACTTGTTGAACTTTTCTAATAGTTTTATGTTGTATGTCTACTGCATGCTTTCGACATTCATTCAACACATGACCTTTTATTTTGCAGTAAGTACAAAATTTGTCTTGGTTCTTCTTTTTGAAACACACTGACTCTGTGTGGCCTGGTTTATTACAAAAAGAACATTTATTGGTAATGTCCTTTTGATTTTTTAAGCGAGGACAAACAAATGCTTTATGGCCACCTTGATTACATTTGAAACATTTGATGGACTTATTTATGTTAGGCTTGATAACTTCCTGAGATTTATTCCCACTATTGTCATGAGTATTCATGAAACTTGCTAAATACTTCAGTAATGAAGTTGTGTCGTGACAACCTGCTGACAAAGCTCCAACTTCTAATAATTGATTACCCAGGGTGCCTATAATAGCTTGGCAGATAATATCATCAGTAAGTTGACATGATATGCCAATACCCAATTTGTTATAATAGAATTCAATAACATTTTCATTGGGTAATTTTATTCGGTTAACAAGCTCCCTAATTTGGCAAAGCTTATTTTTTGTAAAAGGAAAAGCTGTAATCAGTTTTTCTTTCCATTGAATCCAACTTAAATCATATGTTGGCTGCCTCTCATACCAACTTTTGGCATAGCCACGCAGCTTAGATGTACAATTGCATATTAGGGTAGGTTCATCCCAGCCATGAATTTTAGAAATACTTTCTAAGTTCCTCAGCCAGTGTTCAATTGGGATGGTGGACAATTGAGGATCAAACTCAGGTATGAAATCATTCCTGCCAACATACCGTACAATTGGCCGTGATGATCCTAAACTATCCAAGGAGCTTTCTCCTTGATTATCTTGACTTTTCCGCAGGTTCTTAACAAGACCTTCCAATGCTTCAATACGTTGATTGCTTCTTCTCAATTCTCTTCTGTAGCTTTTCTTTTTGTTCACATTGCTATCTGAACTTGAATTTGAGGATGATGTACTACTGGATCTCCGAGATCTCTTGTGACGACCCATGTTAACAGTGACTTCAGAAAAATATGTACACTACCGCTTATAGTTATTTAAATTAATGTTTAGGGGTCTTTACACTTTTTAACAATATCCTTCAGCAATATAACAGTGTTAGAAAATTAATGTTCTATAGCACTTTCAGGTACAATCTTTTCAAGAAACAAATGTGTTTAGGAAACTGTCTTTTGAACATAACAATATGGAAATGGTGAAATTAATTATACTTGTAATACAAAGTAGCTAAATTAGGTCACAACAGCACCATCACTCGTGTAAAAGATGCAACATTCTCCAGAATTATTAAAGTTTATAAATTAATTTTCTAATAGTCTTTAACTATTGCAAAATAAACAGGTAAAGTATATTGAGTCCAATTTCAGCTCAAACAGAGATAATTATCTAAAAGTTCAACATGGAAAAAGCTCACCAATCACCAGTTCAAACACTTGAGCCATGCATGCATTGAGTAGAAGTTGCAGTCCTTCATAAGCACAATAAAACACACACAAAACTCTGATAGCGACAACAGTTTTTAAAAACCACCGTAAAGCAAGTTTTTACTTGTCCATAGGCCAAGCCAAGCACAAAATGGCTGTCTTCAACTCAGTAAGTAAAAAATATAAAATCGTCCTCTTTCGTAATTATACTGCTGCCGAACTTTACTATTGTAATAACTTATCACTGCACGTAAGTCTTATCCCACTTCTGAAACTTTTAAGTAAAACACCACACTCTCAAATATTTAAGTTTAATTACGAACTAATTCTTATAAGAAACTTATTTCTATCCTCGTCAAATTTCCCACCATAATATCCCGTTGTTCTCTTTGCGCGGGAAAACTTTATATTCATCTGTCTCAGTTGACAGACGACAGCGTCACCTCGGCAGCCAGTGTTACCGAGACCACAGATTATATTAGTAACGTTCATTTAGTTGATTTTGTCGTCTAACACTACCAATTTGTACAATATAGTATTAGAGAACATTTTTACTGTCCAAATTGACATAAATAATGTAAGACCTGCTGACAAGATCAGCTCTATAAAAATTGCCAACAGAAATTGGCCTTAATTTCATAGCCTTTCTTACACGTTACGTCCTAGAAATTTTGATCAAACGTCGTACCTACACGGCAAAAGAAGGCTCTTAAATAAACTGTTTTCGCTTGAGTAAAGTGTGGATACCTGTATTATGAATAATTTTGTTTACTCAAGAATGTTTTTTTGTAATCTGATTTTCGTGTCAGTCAAAGTACATATTATATTGTTTTATTTTCATAGTTCAACCTGTAAGTTGCTGGGTAATAAATAACTAGTTTAAAATAGTGACCGATTTTGTCAGTGGTCTTCTAGACGACGCTGTAATACATGAAGCGCATATCAAAAGGCTTTTTACATAAATATGACAGCACAGTTTTTGCAGCTGGGCAACGGTCTGATCAGCAAAGAATAGCTGTTTCGATTCCCGCTCAGGTTCTGGGTGTAATTTGTATCTGTATAAAATTAGTCTTGACCTAGAATAAATTTTATACAAGCAATTTTGCGATATTTAACGAAAATATCTTTTAGACAGACCTATTTGACCTAGATCCTCTTTTGTTACGCCCAGTGCCACCAGATATCGTGGACTCTGACAGCAGTGGTGAGGTCTTAGTTTGGGAAGGAGACAATGTGACTCTTCACTGTGCTGCTTCGGGGACTCCACAGCCTGTCATTTTGTGGAGAAGAGAAGACTCTGCTGCCTTCAATATTGGGACGGAATCTGGTAGGTAAGAAGGAGGAAAACTCCTATCGAAAAGAAAGATTTCTTCTCCGCCTGATGTCGTTACAAAAATTTTATTAGTTCTTAGTAGGTAGATATTGTTTAAATTACCATATTTTTATTTTAAAAATATTTCTACTGTATGCCATTCCTTATTCAAACAAATGTTCAGTGTCAAAAATGTGTGAACAATTCGCCAAGCGTGAAATATTTTCGATAGAAATTTTAAAAATACTTTTCCAAACGGAACACGAGTAAGTTACACAACTTATAGTTTCCTATCCTGCTTTTGTCACTTCGCCAATAATAAATGTGTATTGTCGTCCATCCGCATCGTTGCACAACACTTTGTGAGCCAAACACATTTTTGCAGTCACCAAATGGAATGGACCTTGGCTGAATTTAACTTCAGTGTCTCGGGACATGAATGGTGCTTTCCTCTGCATAGCATCGAATGGAGTACCACCATCAGTCAGCAAAAGGATCCTTCTCCACGTGCTATGTAAGTGATTATTAATACTCCATGCTGCTGCAATTTCTCACGTACCGGAATACACGATAAGCATGTTTCCATTCAAGAGCAGAACCTAGTTTACGAATGAAATATTATGTTGTACCTGTCTGAAGCGTTTGTGTTGTAAATATTATATTTAGAGTTTTCTGCAGCGAAATGTGTGGTAGTTTTCCGTGTATTTTGTTTCATAATTGATTGTAGTTGTGGCAGTTATCCGAAGAAAAATTGACATGATCAGATAGTTAAATATTTGCACAAAATATTCGAGACCAATTATTAATTAGTTATGACGATTTAAAAGCCCTTTGAAATGGTACATAAAGGGAAGATTCCATTAGTGATATTGAATTCTACTGCTGACCTAAATACAAAAATACAATGAACAATCATAAATGTATCCATGCAAAATACTATCAATGCATTTATCAAAGTTGTTTCTATTAAGGTAATTACTGTAAAATTGCACCCATTTAACTAGAAATAGTTGTGTATTAGAACAAGTTCCTATGTATGTGTGTGCAGAGTCAATTCGGTAAATAAAGTGGATAGCGCTACACATGCGGTTGTGGCCAACCAGTCGATTACCAAAAAGCCTCGGCTAGCCGTAGCGGTGTTGCGCCGGCACTAATGCATGGAAGTGGTTCTGGTTCTAATCTAAGTTGGTTAGAAGATTTCAAGATATGTATAAGTAATGTACGTGTCGCAGCTTATCAGATTATTAGCCTAATGGCTGCGGTCTAGCTATTCTCTATTAAAATTTGTTCTCTCTGTTAAATTTTATTACAGTATGGTTCTGGCTGAAGTTTATTTTTGATGACAATTAGATTTCTGTGCGGGTCGCAGTTCTTACCTAACCTACCATTCTGGTAGCTAATCGATTTTAAATACGACCCCTTTACCTTACGGCCGGAATGAGACATTTTGCCATTTAGTCTAGTCAGTTATTCAGATTTTTCTTTAGTTGAATGACTTACAACACCCATGGATAGATCAGGGGTGACAAAAATGAATTCTACTCCACAATATTGCATCATAGGTACACGATTTAGGCTGTAACCTATTTTCTATGCGATTTAAATCCTTAGCAGGGGATTGGTGATCGAAGTTGGGTTACGGTAAGAGGTGTGCTCGTGCTTGTATCTGTCTTGTCCTTCAAACAGATAATGTGACCGAAACCACGCATTGTTTTTTTATTTAAGTAGGTAATGGCTAGGCATTTGGCCGCTATCACGCCTGCTGGTAAGCGATGGTGCTACCTACGAGCATACGGATCAGGTGATACTTAGGCATAAGTAATTAGCGCCGCCCGTAGGCAGTTTCAACATCGAGGGGTCAGAAATGCTTTGCTGCCATTTTGGAGCTTATGGATTTGATGACCGAGACTCCAGTCGAGCCATCCCAATTGTAACGAAACATGGCTCTCCCACACTAGATGCGGGAATAAAAATACTGATGAGAGACAAAAAATATCCCCATTCCAGTTTTTCCTTCAATACGTTAAGCTTTGTAACAATTAGAATATGCATGTTGTGAAAACAGAACATATTTTTAAATAGAACTCCCTCACACAAAGAAAATCATGGGAAGTAAATATTTGTACTAGCTAGAAAGGACCGTTAATCAAAGCTTTGAACTAGGTATTTCAATTAGAAAGTAATGTGAGGAAACTTTACAATTTTGAAACTTGTTCCCTGGTAAAATGGCGCTCTGTAATCGAAGTTTCTCATGTGTTGTGTTTTCAAACGTAAATGTTATGTAGTACATAGTACAAGGAGAATATAAACCGACAAGAGAAGTCATGTTAAATATAATGGTGTGTGTTTCAATGCCGTGGAAAATTATGAATGTGTATCGTAATTAGTACTAACTAGTAATTTGCTTTTAATGTATAATAAGGATCAGATTTAATGTTTTTTATTTGTTATTTGTTTAAGTAGTGCATGTAAATGTTATATGTAAGTTTATTTCCGATATATGTTCATATATATGGCGCTTTGAAATCTGTAGAAAGTTGTTATAATAGAAATAGTATACCAACATCCAAAGAAGTATTTAAATTGTAATAATAATTTTAGTTTTTTGAGATTAAGGATTTTTTTATGTCATATGGCGATAAACGAGTAGACGGATTACCTGATAGTAAGCAATCAGGGCTGCCCATAGACACCCGCAACGGAGGAGATACGAGTGCGTTGCCGACCTTTTAGGGATTAGGGATTTGGAGATTTAGGGATTGGGGAAGGGTCGGGGGAGGGAAGGATTGGGCCTCAGGTAACCTCAGTCACATGGCGAAACACAACGCTCTGGTTTTCTGTGAGGCCCTGGTATTACTCTGGTCGATCCGACCCTTTCGTGCCGAAGCATAACTCTCTCACACGTGGAATTGTGGAGAGATTGGTCTCCGATCGAGCTACTCCTGAACTGAAGCACTATTACTGAATGGCAAAATAGAGGAGAAATATCATTGTCGTCAGTTCATTTTCGCATAGACCTCACTAAGCTCTGTTATATTTTCTGCATTACTACCTTAAGATAGCATAGATAATACTATATTATATAAATCTTTGTATGTTTTATCTATCTATTGGCCTAATTTTCTTTTATTTCAAAGGGTCTCAACGAAAAAAAATGCTTAAGTATGTATGTGTGGAAAAATATATAATATTCTATTAAAAACATTAAATGTAGGTGTTTCACATAAAAGGCCCTAAAAGCTTTCGTTAATATGGTCTGTACGTCTATAAATTTAGTATGAGTATTGCTCGTTGCTAGGTCCCGAGAATTGTTAAAATATTAAAATCACAAATTTAATACTAAAGCATCTGAATTTTATATGACATGATGGGCTCATTACTAATTTATTTTATTTTAAAGCTTTGTGTACAAATTGTAGATTAAAATTAATCTTTTAAATATAAAAAGTCAAACAAATTTTTTGCAACTAAACCATGCCTAGCGCTATGGATGTACAGACGAAATTACACCAATTACAACATTACCCTGCTATTACTCCTGTTATTTTTGAAATTCAAAAAAGATTAATGAGTACTTATTCGGTCAGTCAGTCTGTCAGTGATTCTATGTGTTCCTTCCAAAGTATAGATTGGTACGTACCTATGGATCAGAACGAGCAAGAAACTCGATCGTTAGCCTTTAAAAAAATAAATATAAGTGACACACCACGGTTACGTACAAAATTGAACAGAAGCCGTGTAGCGGCTCTGTCTAATAATCCTGAACATTAAAAACTACGGTCACCAAACTGCCAATTTATCTTTTTAAGAGGAAAAGACATACAGACAGGAGGCTCATAGTTCAACATTGGACTGACACGAAATGTTGATGAAGACTTATCTGTCTTAAGTTTTTTTAATTGGGGAAAATCATCAAATGTTTTCCCTGCCCTAAGTTGGAGCGAGAAGGAGTGTCAGACCCTTACTGACTAAAAGGACCCCATTTCTGCTTCAGCTCCGCCCGGGCCGCATCTTTGACGCCAACGACAACATTGAAACTTTTACCCTTTCTTGTTCCTTAAAAATGGTTTGATCTTTGTGCCAGGTAAACCCACGGCTCAGATTACGCAGAAAATGCTTGGCGTATACGTTGGCGATACAATGCAACTCAAGTGCAAGATTGAAGCTAATCCCGCGCCTAATGTGTACTGGACACATATAGACTTCAATAAACTTTATAATGGTGAGTTATTTTTATATACAGTGCGGCCGAACGTATCTTGGCGAGTCTGAAGTTAGCCGTTTGTCTGCGCAATGGATCTTTTAGGAACAAAATTGTGTAAATTGTGTACTGCGCAGCTAATCGGCTAACTTCAGACTCGCCAAGATACGTCGGCTGCACTGTATCATTGTTGGAGTGCAAAAGAGCAGACGGATTATCTGATGATTATATGACACCCGCAACAACGGAGGAGTAACGAGGACGTTGTCGTCTTTTTGGGGATTAGGAGGGCTTAGAGGTTTGGAGATTTAGGGATTTGGGGTGGGGATGGATGGGACCTCCGGTAACCACACTCACACGGCGAATACACAACGCTTTATATGTTTATTACTTATCATCCAAGCGTTATTCCGAGTGTTTACTTTTGAGACCCCGGGGTCTGTTTTCTGCTTTTCTGTCTCCACTTAGGTATTTTGCAAAGTTATAACGGTCTTTCGCAAAGTTGAATGTCTTTATTCATTTCATACTAAAACTACTACTATTTTGATAATCTGATTAGCCTTTTTAAATGACTCCTTTTGGTAGGCTGTTTTACGATGACAATTTTATTTTGACTATTCATAGTTCATAAATTTTGGCTTCAATAGAGGTTTTATCAGCTCTGTTTAGGTTTCGATTTTAATTTCTATGTCAACAAAATATTTTATTTATTTTATAATGAGTGGTCAAACGATGAAAAGTCATTCTAAACTTAAATATTAAAGCTGTTTTTTAACAATTTTATCTAAATCTGTCAACCACAAAGGTGACCTTTAGGTACTTACTTGCTCTTAAAAGTACGTACCAGATCCAACGCTTTATTTTATTTAAGTAGTTATAAAATTTAATTTTATTATTATAATCGAATAAAATATTTGAACAAAAATATTCAGCTATTTTCAAATTTAAACGTATATACATAATTTGATACAGACCCAGTTTAGATATACACTTATATTAAATTTTATTTTTATGAGACGGGCATTTCTTTTTTCTATAAAAGGTCAAACATAAAACTCAAAGGGTTGAATATTATAAGGTACATTGTACCGATCTTTTTTTGTTTCAAATATAAGATTCACATCTAAGTGACAATTTATGATTTTATCTCTATTTGTTTTCGCTTTGAAATTTCATAGTATCGTTTACAATTCTTATTAGTTTACTAAAACAAATAATCGTACACAAGTTTACACAGTAATGATCACTTTATTTATGCTCGAAGGGTTTTTTTTGTCTATAGCTTTTGATTGACAACACATTGGAAATTTTTTTTATAGGCACGTTGGTAAATGAGCTTACAGATTACGGATTACCTGATGGTAAGCCATCGGCGTCGCCAGTGGACGCCTTGCAACACCAGAGCATCCATTACTATCACATCCATTATTATCGGGACAAAATTGGTTGAAAGACTAAATAAATAACTTCACAGGGAAAACCACTTAACTAACTAGTTTTTTTACATGGTATAGGCCCGGCTATCGGCCATACAGAGCACCTGAAGGTAAGTAATCGTCACCGCTCATGGACGGGTGCAACACAACAGTATGTACATAGATGGTTTTCTGGGATTAGGGCTCTAAGGATTTGGGTATGGTTGGGGTTCAGATAACTGCACTCTGGAGGCCAAAGACAATGGTGGTTCTACGCCGGTTTCACGTGGCCGTGCTAAAACTACATTCAAGAATGCTTATTTGTAACAAAAATAGTTTTTCAATACATCAATAAATACTAATATTACAAAGAGGCAAAATTTGTTAGTTTGTATGTAGGGGATAATATTTGGAACCGCTGGTAGGCTTTCCAAAATTCTTTCACTGATAGATAGCTACAATGTTCCTGGGTGCTATAGGGAATAAAACATTACGCTACGATCTATAAGAGTCAAGCAGCAAGTTTAGCGCGAGTACAGTACGGCCGACGTATCTTGGCGAGTTTGAAGTTAGCCGTTTATCTGCGCAATGGAACTTTTAGGAACAAAATTGGGTACTGCGCAGCTAATCGGCTAACTTCAGGCTCGCCAAGATACGTTGACGGTATTGTATAGTTTAATTCATTAATCCCCAATCGAAATGGCGGTCGCGCATCTAATGTTTTACTATTTTGTTTCAAATCACCACTATTGAAATGTTAACATAATTATCGTTTCAAACAGGATCAAAACACCAAATGAGTATAACGTCGCAAGGGTACAAGCACACAGCTGTGCTTCGAGTAAGGAACATGTCTCGGGAAGACATTGGTTCCTACTACTGCTACGCTGAAAACTCTATGGGGTCCACAAGGGATGACGTCACTGTTTATAGTAAGTACCAAGTAAAGTGTTGTTAGCTATTCAAATAAGTGATTATTAAGAATATTTTTCGTTTATGACAATCATTAATACCTACGTGGTAGGAAAAACTGTTTTTTTATTGGGATGTCGTTATTTCCTCCTGCTTTATGACATTGCTTCACGGCTCATCCATAGGTGAGACGTGAAGCAATGTCTCAGCGGAACTCACTAAAAAAACCATGTTTCAATCATTCGGTGATTTCCAACTAGGCAAATTCAATTATAAACAGTTACTATACTTATGTCAGAAACGCTACATTTCTAAGATATTTGTTTGGAAATTTCAAATTATGATGTCATAATTATTTGCATTCATCGAATAGCATTTTTATTACTTGAAACTGAGCCAAAAGAACTATAGAAAATAAGGTATGTCGATGAAGGAAACTATGATTATTTTTCAATATTTAATTGTACTAGAACGTCCGAAATAATTATGTTTTTACTAAGGAACTTATCCAAATGCTGCATATCAGTTAAAATGCGTAGCGTTAGCGTCACAAAACAAAACACACAACTCTACCTACGCACTTTTAAAATAAAAGAAGCAATGATAATGATGCTATGTAACAAAAAATAATGTACTTACACATAAATTGAAACAAAAAAAGTCTCACAAAATATGAAAAGAAAAAGCTTAGGTAGTAGTACCTACATCGCGAACTAATATCAAATTTCAAATAGTGTCGGAGCTTGCCACGTATATTGCTCTAATACCCGTTCTCTCGGTCCTAAATACATATTTTTCTATCAGTTTATCCAAGAATATGAAAGTGGTGAGCGTAGTAACATACAGTGTACAACTCAACAACTTTAGTTAGCATTTTACAAGGGATAATAGAACTTATTAATCGAGATTTAAGTGATAATTTTCCATTACTTAGCTGTTCTGCGCTTAATTTGATAAAGTTACAATTGGGCACAACTGTGTCTTATGGATAACGAGTGTCTTAGAATAGACTGGAGTATTTTCACTAATTGAATTTATATTAACGCATACAAAATGTAAAACAGTATGCTTTTTTGAATTCCCATCTCGCTATCTGTCTTTATTCAAAATTATGATTAATAATTATAAATACATTTCAATATAAGAACTCGTTAGAAACGTGACTTAATTAAAAAAGAATATTTCAACACAAAAAAATATTAAAATTATAAATATACTTCCATTCTGTGATATAACGATATTTGTCCTTACATTTCAAGCAAATTAAGAAATGAAACAAAACACTTAACTAAAATTGCTATTTGAAACATAAAACATAACATCACAACATACTATCCATACATCAAACAAAAACCATATATAAACCGTTAATTTTGGAAGATCGGCTTTTTTTAAATGACAATTTGGAAAGAACTCTATGATAAAAACGGCTTTTTACCTAACCAAACTTAAGAATCTAGATTCTAGATCCAAACTTCAGAAGTGTGAACTTACTTGAGTTTATGCAGATAACGCAGAAAAGCTTTCAATGTGTCTCTCCATGTAAGTGATGCATAATAATACTGTTTTATAGCTCTAGCAACCACTACGTCGACATCGACTGAAGTTACGACTGTTCTTGAAGATATTACCTCAACGCCAATGCACTCATGTGAGTATCCATAATCTGTAAATATTATAAATTTACATATATAAAACAAATCCATTAACAAGTATATGTATTGTAGGTATATGTATGTATAAGTTCCCATTATGGAGCAAAGGCTTCTTCTCACACGGAGATGGTTTGAACATTAATCACCACGATTGCTAGAGCCGGATTGGCGATTTCAAAATTATGATAAGAAATTATAAGTCCAGGTTAACTCACGACGTCTTCCGTTACCGTTTGTCAGTAGTGTCTAAATAATATTAGAAAGTACCTTATATAGGTACATGTAACTCGGAAAAAGTTATATTGGTACTTGCCAGGTTTTGAACGCGCATCCTCATCATGAGAAGCCCGCTTCTTACCTTGCCTCCGGGCCACCACGAAACATTAATAATCTGTTGAAAAGCGTACGTCATATTCTAAAATGTAGATTATAAATTATTTTTATATTTTCCCGCGGTTTTTCCTTAAAAGCACAATACAACGAAAAATCGAGGCGAACTTTACTGTGTTTTTTTTTTGTTTTTTTTTTTTCATTAGATATCTACTTACAAATATTAAATATTAAAGCTTTGTTTTCCTAAAATGTTGATAAACGAAATCGTTTTTAAAATAAATTCATAAGAGAGGGAGAATGTGAACTAAAGTATTAATTTAATATAATATATCCAATATGGCGCTAGAAGCTTCGTAATTTTGAAATATCTCAATATGTCGACACGATGACGGGATCTTTAGTTCACTCACAGCTGTCTCCTTTGTTAAACAACGTTTTTCTTTTCGACATAGTGAGAAAATTATTAATATATTAGTAGCTAAGTATTTTTTTTAAGTGATAGGACAGCATTTTGGGTATTATGATTTCGGAGATATAAGGATTGAGGATGAATGAGGGAGGGAAAGGATTGGGCCTTCGGTAACCTAACTTACACGGCGAAACACGCTGTGGTAGTTTTTCGCCGGTTCTCTTTGAGGCCGTGGCCGGTGCCTTTCCGGTCGAGCTGACCCGATCTAGCAGAAGCTTGGCTTTCCTACTTTTCCACCCTTTATTTTTTTCATGGCTTAAAAAAACCGGGTTACCGACTGAGTTTTATAATAACGTAAAAATTGCTCAAGGAATTGTCATTGAAAATTTTCAAATAAGAGAAATGTGTAAAAATCGATTAGTTAAGCGTTTATAAAGATAGATATATCGCCTACCAGAAAGCTATTTTGGAATTTTGGGTGTACCACACACAAGTGTTCTAGATATTCTTCAATTAGTTTAAATATAGATCCTAAACAGTCGAGGGATTTCAAAATTTTTGTGTTTAACCTACACAAATGTTTAAGAGATTTTCATTTTGATGAATGTAAAGGGTATTTATATGATTGAAAGGTCGGATAATCCTCTTTTGTTGTAAGGTAAAATCGTGGTACAAGTTTGTACGAAATAACTGAGGCGCCCACATTATTTCTTCCATACTTGTACTTGAAGATTATAATGAAATATTTCGGTTTGTACAATTGAGTTGGAAATAAAGACCGATATATAGGGTGTATGGACCCAGGCGTCGTTAATTTGTTTGAGTTGACAAATACCACAGATTTCCCGTTTAATAGTTTATTGTGTATGTTACACTAGTTATGTGAGGTGCTAATCGTGAGTATCGTTATAATCAACTAAATACAAAAATTACAATATTCATTAAATCGACTCGCGAATGTAGGTCGCGCGACGTTAGCAAAATAAATGCCTGTACGGAAACCGTACATGCTCCCGAGGGAAAAATGTCCGATGAGCACCCCTTACAAAGCAAAATGTAAAACAAATCAAGTAATACCTATACAAACAAATCATAGTTAAATAAAATGAAAATAATTATTAAATAAATTCCTCAAAGTTGAACATCTTCTTCTGCTGTCCTTGTCCGCTGTGAACTGGTGCCGCTGACCTCAGATTGCTTACTTCTTGCAAGTCGATTTCTTCTCCAATGGCAATATTGTCTTTTCCTTTTTGTTTCATAGTATTCTCTGTGGCCGGAGTTACCTTCCGGCATCGTTTTCGCAAAAAATATAGGGCAAGTACTGCCAGTCCTCCCAACAGCAGCGAAGTTATTGAATAGTGATATATGTCGTGACTCGAGAGGTCGGATGCTTTCGGTAATACTTCCTGGTGCTTTATGTCTTCCAGCTGTTGATTGATTCTTATTACCTCACTTGCTGTCTCCGTGTCATGTTCTATTATGTTTAGGTGTGCATTTTTCCATCCGAGATCGAATATATGGTTTATTGTTGAGTTTATTGTTGGTACTTCAATATCCGGTTTCATATAAACATTACTACCTAAGTGATTGTAGGTAATTATCGTGGCATCCTTTTTCTGTAGTATGCACTTAGGTTTCAATGAAATTATTCCAGTTCCGTCAATAACCGCGGGCGTAACTTGATCGCTACATATGACGCGCATCAGCTGTTTGTCGCACAACGTAAACAGCCACAAGTTGGGTTTATGTAGCTTGGTCCAGGTTTCTTTGCAGGTGACGTCATTGATAAGGCATGATAATGACGTCTGTTGGCTGAACACTTTAGCTTCACAAGGCGCATCCTCATCGTGTAAGTTGTAGACTGGTTGATGAGATATGCAGATAAATTTATCTTCTCCGTACGCAGTACATTGACGTAAGTCTTGCTCTTCCATAATGATGTAGGAGTTCTTCCTAAGGTTGAAAGCAATAAAGTTGGATGTAGGTTGTAGGAGTTTTAAGTTCCCTTGTTGTAAGAACGGTATCGGTATAACGCGATATATTTTGTAATCTTCGTCACTTAACAACGGGATGTGTATTTCAAATAGGAAAAAGTTGTTTGTTATTCGAGCCTTGACGTGAATTAGATCGTAGATGTTCAGAAAATCATTTTGAATATCTTTCACAGGCAACGACAGTCCTTGGGGTAATCTTCCAGATATGATATTAAGTTGTTCGATGAGTTGGGATGCTGGAAACAGGTGAGTATCTAAATGACCTTTGTTGATGTTACTTAAGGCACTCATTAGCATATCTAGAATCCTGTTCAGCTCCTGGAAAATTAAAGTTGATGTCACCGCGGCAGAATTAATGTCGTTTATAGTGAATAACATTTGCGCGCGGTTCTCGATTTTTGTGATGACATTGCATGATCTATTCATGTATGTTTTAATCGTTTGAAGTTGTTTTTCCATGAACTCAGCGTTCTTTTTAACAACATTGTTTTCTGCTTCTATGACCAAAGTTTGGTTCTTCATAAGCTGTAATAAGTAATTATCGTTTAATTGCATGTTTTGTATATCCTTTTCGTATTTATTTGCGAAGTCCACGTCCAGGGTCCCAAATAGTGTTCTCGATAACTTGCCAATTCCATCAAAGTAGCCACGTCTTTGTCTGGAATGTTGTGACAATAGCATTGAATTGTATTCTGCAAGATGTTCCAGTTCATGACGCAAATGGCTGACGACTGTTTCGCAAGGCGAATACTCGTGTGAGATCCTGTTGCACAAGGTTTCAATTTGGTCGATGTATGCGCTGATCTCGTTGGTGGCTTGCCAGTATGACGTTAGATTATAGTAGATGAGCAGTGTCCATTCGTCATGAATCAGTTGTAATTGGCCAGTTTCATCAAAATAAACAGGATGAGTGTTTACAATTGGTGTCACTTGCAAATTATTTGTTATGGGTGTGGATTGCGTTAACGCTGTCATGGTTAATATAGACATAAGAATGAGAGATAGTGCATTCTTATTTGCTCCTGTTGGACCTCGTTTTTTCGGTTCCGGACTAGAAGGCGGTTTTTTGGCTTGATTTTCCTCGTTGGTTTGCAATGGTAACGGTGCCAGTTTGGTAATGGGCCGTTTTAAGGTGCCTTTTTTAGTTTTTAAAGTAACCACTCGAACTCTTCCGTCTGCTCCCGGGTGAATCTCATTTACTCTTCCGAGAGCCCATCGTCCGGGAGGAAGGTGTTCATCTTTTACGAGTACTAGGCTTCCTTCTTTAAGATTTTCTTGAGATTGCTGCCATTTGCTTCTTACTTGCAGTTGGTGCAGATATTCATTCGACCAACGCTTCCAGATTTGTATGTTTAGTTGCTCGACAAGTCTCCATCTATTTCTTAAATCATTCTCGGCGAACTCTTGCTCCTCTTGTGGTGGGGCCAGTAGGGGTCCACCAGTAAGGAAGTGCCCAGGAGTTAAGTATTCGAGATCTTCAATATCTTCGGTTAATGGACACAACGGACGTGAGTTCAGGCATGCTTCTATTTGAGCTAGCAGCGTAGTAAATTGCTCAAAAGTAAGCTTTTGTTCCCCCAGTACTCGATTTAAATGGTATTTCATTGCTTTAACGGCCGCCTCCCACAGACCTCCAGCTGTGGGCCATAGGGGGGCGTTAAAATGCCATTCTACTTGTAGATGGCTCATTTCATTGAAGAATTCGGATGTCTTAAATGTTTCATGTTTTTCAAAGTTTTCTTTTAACAGTTTTGCTGCGCCCACAAAATTCGTTCCGTTATCGGAATACATGTGACGGGGTGTGCCTCTGCGGGCACACAGTCGTCTAAAGGCGGCAAGGAAGGTTTGCGTGGTCAGATCCGATACCAGTTCCAAATGAACCGCCTTAGTTGCCAGGCATATGAAAATAGCTATGTAAGCCTTGCATGTTTTCACTCCTCTCCCTTTGTTTATTTTTATGTCAACGTGCCCGGTATAGTCGACTCCAGTGTTCGTGAAGGGTCTGGATTGAGTTACCCGCTCCTTGGGCAAGTCTGCCATCAGTTGAACGTTACGACTAGGTTTAAACCGGTGACACTTTACACAATGTCGTAGCTCCCTTTTCACTGTCCTGTTGCCACCAATGACCCAAAACTTAAGTCGCACATAGGCCAAGGTGAGCCTGGCACCGCCATGAAGAGTGTCGTTGTGCGCCTCTTGTATAATGAGTTCCGTTAATCTGCCTGTAGCGGGTATAATAAGAGGTTGCTTTGATTCCGGA